TAGGGAAATTAATACCTCTTTACAGCAGCCAAGAACCTCAACTTGGAGCAGGAATCAAGGTTGCAAAAGGACAAAGGAGTCTGCACATTAGGAGCAGCAGCAGAGCCTTAGGGAGTCTGGTTTTGTAGACTCCAGCATCCATCCCAGTAAACTCGTGGTTCCTGAGATCGCAGCATTTGGAAGCATTAAATTTTATTTTCCATTCCTTACCAATAAGAGATAAAGATCAATAGCAAATTTTTACTAATCCAAGGAAAGAAAGACAGGCTCAAAAGTGAGATTTTATTCATATTTGTTACTTATTCACAACCCAAAGTATGATAAAACTGATAAAACCAGCTTAGAATAATGTTAGTTTACATCACTAAAGTCAATTCACATTTTATTAATAAAATACCAAAAGGAAAATGACAACATTGCAGGTTCAGAAAAACAGGCTGGCTACTATGGCTGGGAAATCTACACTACCTCAACTGGTCACAACTGATTGCTTGTTTAATGCTTATTATTTAAAATTAACACAAATTACAAAATTTCAGACACACTCAACTTCTGTGCTCATAAAATATATCTTCTGTCATATCAAATTTCAATAGATTGGGAGTGATTTTCTGCTGCTATTTCATTTCAGCATGTATTAAAAGAACACTGAGAGTACCCTCCCCAGCTACACAGCGACGTAACGCTGCCGGCACGGCTGCACCTTTAGCCTACCCCTCCAAAAAGTCCCTGTGCAAGCACACCACGGGGAACAGAACAAGCCACCTCTCATCCCAGGATGAAAACCACCATCAGGCTATGGCCTAAATTCTGTGGACACAGACCTCAAGACTCCAGGATGCAAAATGAAGCAGACTTCAGCTCTGTATTTCAAGGCCAAGACAAAACCAGCTCCAACTGAAATGGGTTTGAGGACCTTCAGCTGCCACCAGTTACCAAAAGCTGTAGTTGCTCACCATTATGCAGAGACTGGTCATACTTTATATGTTAAATTTTAACACCAACACTGAGACATCATGTTCCCACCCACCATAAAAACAGCCACCACAGACTGAAAAATCGTATGCAGATTAAACAGCAGTGCAGCAGCCACTAGTTCGCATGCAGGGGTGTTCTGCTGGTGTGTTCTTAGGACTAAAACTTAGCTGTGTAAACACAGGGTAGATAATTATCATCTACTTCTCTTTTTATTTTACATACTTTTTTTTTTTTTTAAGAACAGACAGGGCCACACAGAACAAAGGAACTTTACCAAATGTTAGACCTGGGATTACACAGATTTCAGCTACAAAGATTAAAACTGTGATCAGGTAAGGAAAGAATTTTTCCCCTGCTATGAATACATTTTTAAAAGCCTCATTAGGCAAAGCAGCAGCCTGACTCTCAGTACAGAAGAGGAAAAAGAAAAAAAAAAAAAAAACAAAAAACAAAACAGAGAAGTTTAATACTGTGTTGTGAAAAAAAAAAAAAAGGAACTATTTATAAAGAAAACAGAGACAGCCAAAGTTGACTGTATGGGAGCTACTGTTCCTAAAGAAGGAGAAAACAGGAATGTATGTATATGGCATAGTACCTAAGCTGCCATTAAAACTGCTGTAACTGCCAATGTTTTATCAATGGGATGTACCAGAAAAGAAATACATTCAGAAGTGAGAGTAGTCTGGAGTAAATGTGCTACAGGAAATGGAAAGCGATCTGTCATGACTATACATGTACAAATCAACAACAACAGAACTTATTTACAAACATCTATAGCTACCAGCATAAAGACCAGGTTTAATACTTGTGAAAGGTATCTGATTGCTAGATCTGGACTGTTCCAACCCTCAGTAATAGCAGGGTAACATTTCTACACTGCAATTACCAATGGCTTCAATCAGATCTATCTTGAGGTCTTTGCATCTAATTGATCTGTATCATAAAACTGAAAAGCTATCTTAACTTCCATTTGTAACATGGATGAGCATCTGCTGCAAACCTGAGACCTCCCCCTGCACTCTACCCAACAAGCTGTTAGCAACCTAGAGCTGGTACAGTTACAAATTCATCTGGTTTGCTCACAAAATGTTAGTTTTGGATCACGTGGATTCATTCTTCAATGCATACATTTCATCATCTGCTACATTTTTAAGATAAAAAGAAAGATTACATAAAATCAGTTTTGTATGCAAAAACCCTAAGCCCAGAAATGATTAAAAATAGACTAAGGTGGGCATAATTAATAACTAACAAAAAAGCTAACAGTCATTTTTATGGAACTCAACACTTCACACAGTTAGAGAGTTAACTGCCCTCAGAGACCAACAACCAGACCAATTCACAAGTACTTAAGTTGCTTACATAACTAAAATAATAAGACATAAAGTCAAAAAAAATATATTTTATCCCTTCAGGATCAGGAAAGTAAAATAAAACGCTGGTTCTGTAACAGTGCAACAACTGCAGCATATTTTGCACGCAGCACATGACTTGCTACATGTAGTGGCACTTAAGTATTATGTGGTAAATACTGAAAGTAAGACAAGTTTCTGATCTGTATAAGCAGTCACATCATTATTACCAGAGGTGCTAAGCTACAGCATTCTGAATAAGACCAATCCAATTTTAGCACTTTGATCACTAGCCTTAATACATGTCAACGTCCTCCTTGACAACTTGCTAAGAAAGATAATCACTGAAGCTAAGTATTTCATTAACTTGCCACTGGGCCTGGACCAGGCTCAATCTGACCAGTCGTTCTCATCAAACTCTGAATCATCATCAGAATCACTGTATTCCACAGCAATGCGTCTTGAGAGGATGGTGGCCACATCATTTCCCACTGGCTCTCGCTTGGCTTCTTGCTCACGTTGCTCCTGCACCTTTTTCAGCTGGATTCCTGTAGAGACAATTACTCTGAGACTAAGTTTTCTGCACAAGGATTTTAAATTTCATATTGTTATTGATGAGTTTTACATATTCTAACAACATGTTAAGGAAGAAGGAGGAAAAAAAAGAAACTATTGAGTCAGACAGCCTCCCTGAGCAGGAGGAGAGGGAGAGGGAGAGAGAAGGAGAGAGTGAGACAAGAAAGGCAGACTCATTCTCAGGAACTGCAGACTTCTAGACTTCCAAAACTGCCCACAGTACGTTAAAACTGCATATTCAAGCCCATGCGGGTCCCTTTCATCTTAAGGTGAAACTTTTCATAATTTTATTTGGAAATACCATTAGAACTACAGCTCCGTATTGTAAGAAAAGTCAGAACAGCCATTAGTCACTGGTTAAAAATCAGTGGGCTGAAGCCCAGTGTTGGATAACTCAGTTCTTTTGAAGAGAAGCAAAAATCCCTGTGCATTTATGGGCTACTTCACATAATGACCACAAGTACTGTTCCCATTTGATTGTGTCCACACAAATGCTAGAACATGCTTGACAAAGCTGTGCATCTTCAGGTGTTAGATAAAGGTCCAAAGTCAGGGCACCAGGTTATTGCAGCAATCATTTTAACACCAAATGTTACACTAGGTTAACTAGCCTCCCAGCGACACTCTGCTCAGCTAGGAGCACACGCCATGGGCTCAGGTCACTGGGGGACACGGTGCTTTTGCTGGGGAAAGAGAACAGTGCAGAAGGCAGTGCCCACTCACCCATGCGGATGGCAGCCAGCAGATCACTCCGTGCGTCGCTGATCGGTGGCTGCGCAGCCTCGTGACGCTTTGCCTCTGCAGCCGGAGGAACGTGCAGTGGGGAGGAAGTCAGGGATGAGCCTGTAGCTGGAGGGCCTGGTGGAGGAGGAGGAGGGCCGGGAGGAGGAGGAGCAGTGACAACAAGCCCACTAGAAGGAGGAGGATGAGTAGCTGCATACGTGGAGCCGGTCACCAGTCCAGAATGGGAAGGTGGCACAGGAAGCTGAAGGGGACTAACAAACGCAGTCTGTGCCGACGGAATCATAGGGGGAGGAGGAGGAGGGGGAGGACCTGTAGGATTGTAATAATCCACCATCTGAGCTGGAAGCATCCTACATAAAACAGAAAAAAAACATTTCATGTACTGAAAGTTAGGTCTTAGAGAATCATCCTCCCTTAAATTGCTCTCATCCAACCTCAGCTAAAACGAAAACAAAAAAGATTTTAAACTGGTGAGTTAAATATGCAAATGATTATAAGCATACGAATTGTCAATTATTGCTAATACACTGAGACTCAAAGCAGATGACAGAGTTAAAGGCAGTGTGTCCTTTCAGCCCTCCACAAAGTGAGATTTTAATCTCAGAACTCCTGCCTAGTGAAGCATAAAGCTGTATCTGTCGCTCAACAGCTACTCTGTGACAGTGTTAACTATCATGCCTGTGATGATGAAGGGACCAAGAAATCTGTAGACTATGCAAAACACTTCCATAGAAGACCAAGTGTTAGAACAAATATTAAGAGAAAATAAAAGACATAAGCATGAAGGACAATGGGAAGTAGGAATGGAAAGACCTACCCAAAGGTACATCATGCATCTCATGCGCCTCTTTGGTCAAGTTTATCAATTTGTACATTAAACTGATACATTTGGTTGATATTTTAAAAAGGAAGAACGATGAAGAGCTAAATTCTTTGTTAAAATGTCATTAAAAGTATTCTTAAGCAGAAATAACGGGAATTAAGACTTATGAAGTAGAAGAACTAGATGAAGAAGGCAGGAGTTTAAAGGAATGTTACTGATGACACTGAGTGATACATGTCAGTGTATGACAACTGTGATACACTGACAATGGTCATATACCTGGGGACTAAGCACAAGTATTTCTGTTATAAACTGGAAATAACAGAGAAAATGCAGGTTGGAGAGTCAATCGTAGCATATCTGAGTCATCTACAGCATGATACAATCATGAATTGGGCAAATGCTACCCCAGGATGCATCAAGTGAGGCTGAAACACCTTGGCTGGCTTGGTTTAAAATGGCACAGGCAAGAAGGGTTAAAACTTTTTGGGGGTTACACCTTGAATGTTTAATTAAGCAGAAGAACAAACAGGCACAGACAAGTTAGGAAACAGATATTTTCTTGCTACTAAAGAGCCAGTACTCTGGAGCAAGCCTTCCTTCGGAATGTATTCAGGCAAAATATCTACACAGGGGTTTGATAAACTTGTATCTTGAATTATGGAAGTGTCTGTGGCAGCAGGGAACTTGATTCTGCGCCTCAGGAGATCCCTTCCAGTTCCACCATAAGCTCCTTTAAAAAGTCACTTCAGAGATGCAACACAGACTGTCACACTAATCACATTCAGCAGTACTTTCCCTGCACATTTCCTGATGTTTAAAATACTATTCAAATTATGCTGGAGCTATTTTCCACTCTAAAGGAAAATAATCCCTTTTTACATATCAGGAGCCCTTGATATTTTACATGCATGTGGATTTCACCACGTTCAATACACAGTCCATTACTTCTGCTTTCACTAGCTCGTCATGGAAATTCGGTTCCTACATGGAAGTCATACAATTTTTTCTGTCCTCCCCAGGGAGATAACTGATGTGTTTGGGGTATTTTTGTGTGCATGCACTCTGTGTTATGATGGTTAGGAAAACCACGCACGCCTCTAGTTGTGCCAGGGACCCACTGGAAGGAATGAGGAGTTTTACCCATACTCTGCTGGAGCCACAGGTGCTGAGCTGTGCTGCCCGTCCGAGGGCTGGGGCGGCGGCGGCGGCGGCTGCTGAGGTCTGTTTAGAGTCGCGTGTCGTACAGTGGTGGAGGGAGGTCTGTAGTCATGCTCATGGCTCTGGGGTGCTGCCATGTACTGCGGGCCATCTCCTGCTCCATAGGATGGCACTGCTATCTGCTGATGGAGGGAATGATTTGGAGTAGCAGGATAGGAGTAATCTGTAACATCAGACGCATGAGACCTAAAACGTAAAGGTGCAGAAGAACGGATTATGGGAGTGCAACAGGGTATGCTCTGAATCCTTCACAAGAAAAGCTAGAAGAAAATGCCATTAGAATTCTATGTCTCACAACAGGACTCCCCGATGGTCAAGCACCTCTCCCTCTAAGTCCACAGAAAGCACAAGAACAAATGCAACAAAAAAAATCATGGTTCAGATTAACACATCTTGAAAACAAATTAGTCTGACAAGTCAGCATAAAAGGACTGAAATGGAACTTATTTGATATTTCAGCCCACCAGCTGCATGCAGAACGTCCGCCTCTGATGCAGACGTTAACAAAAGGCAAAAAAATACTAGAGCTTTCTGTGTATTTTAGACTTCCTCAGTAGCCATGAGGAGGCATATTGTTTCTGTCAATGGTTTTGACAGTCCATTGTTTGCAATGATAACGCTTATCAGGCCTGCCTTAAGTTAACAATGGCAGCAGAAAAAGGAAAGCAATGCTGCAAGCACTCACAATTATGCAGAAGAATGTATTTTGCCAAAGCAGAGAAAGCCCCTTTCAAAAGTTAGAAAATGCTTTATTTTGTTCGGCTTATTAATTTGGCTGGAAAGGCTTGGAGAAACCAGGAAATGTAAATATTAGTCGAGCAGAGAGTTCATAAAGATACAAAGTGCAGGATGCTCTGTCAAACAGGCCCAAGAGAGGGAGCAAAAGGATCTCTTCACCCCGTTACTGCAGAGAGCGGTTTAGTAACGAGCAATCGTGCAGCCTGGCTTTTAGTGAATACAGTCAACTGATGCACTTATCTGTAAGACTGGAAGCAAGGTAAGCAACAAAAAGCCAGGGCTTTGAGTAAAACAAAATGACAAACCCTTTGGGCATTTTGTCCTCTTTCATGCTTCCTGCCTGTTCCATTTTCTTTGCGTCACTCATGAACTCAATGCCCATTTTCCTTCTCTCCCACTCTTCTTTTCTTGTTCTTACTTTTCTCACATTAATTTGCTGGTTTCTGTTTGGGTTCAGCTTGTGTTTCTCCCTCTGAAGTACAATAGGTATAACAAATACATTGTAAATTGCTACAGTTTGGACACTTGGATGTCAATGTTTAATGTGTAGATCTGACAGTTAGCAAAGGAGAAGAAACAGGAGCTTTTTTTTTTTACTTTAGCATTAAACAAAGAACCACAATATAGCAAAAACACCTCTTTGGGACCTGATTTAGAAAACACTGCTCATGCAATAGCTGTCAGCATAAAAACGTCTCTGAAGCCAGTACTTATTTCTACATGTATGGGGGTTTTTTTTATAGCTTAGTTCCTACAGCTAAGACTACCCCAAGATAAAAAATAGAAAGCCTCCTCTTCACCTCACTACCACTCACAAAATTAACCCTCCACGCATGTAGAACACAAGATTTCAGGATTCAATCACTGATACTTGATTCACCAAACTTTAAAGTTCTCCACACATTATAAAATTTGAAAGGCTTATGTGGCATACCACATCTACACCCAACATAATGATGCATCCTACAATTTCCACTTTAAAAAATCCTACAGGTTGCAGGTATTATGGATATCTGTGCACAGTCAAATACATGCTGACATTGCTGGGAGATAAAAACAAATCGTGTGAATATGATTATTTGAACTTAGGAATCCTGGAAGCAAGGTGTTAAGGCTAGAAAAAGACTCAAAATGTGTGGAATACAGAACTCTCGCACTTGACAGCTGAACATCAATGTCACTTTACCACATCAACCTATGGAAAGCACAGTCTTAATGAAACATTACATACTGACAGACATGAGACATTCTGCATCAGAAACTGTAAAAAAAATTGTTAATTAAAGGACTTTAGACAGAGGGGCATCTGAACATACTGTCAAAACAGCAGTAGCATTTTTTGTTTGTTTCAATTACAATGTGATTACTCTTCACAAAGATCAAAATGTTACATATGCAAAGTTCTGAGCAGATTTGTTGTTGCTGTTGTTGTTTTTAATTAATCTCAACTGCACAGCAGCTAAAGGTATCAATCCACACTTCTGCAGTGGTGGCTGCTTCCTCGACCTAGCCACTCAGCAATTTCAACACTAAATTGTCACACACTTGTCCCAGTAGGCTGTTTATTCCTAACATTACTGCTAGCAATTAACCATGACAAGAGGAAATGAAATAGCAGGAAAATCCTCCAGTGAGACCAGCTTAGTGAAAAAAATTCAGAGTTCCATGCACACCACAAGAAGGTAACTCCCACTGAGCTCAGAGGGAATCTCAGTCAATGAAGATGAATTCTGCGGTGTCCCTAAGCAGAGATTTCTATTTCAAGCAATAATGTTGCAATTGGTTCTGTGGCTTGCTTTTTAGACAAACATAACATCAATAAAGCTGAACTATTCTCCCATTAAAACACTGTTAGAGGCAAAAGCATGCTTGACTGAGTAGATCATGGAAAAATATTTAAGCTATCAGCAGCATAACGTATGATAAACTAGACACAGAGGAAGAGGTACTGACAGTATCTGGGAGATGCAGACAAATGCTTTGGGAACTACAGCTACTCAGGATCAAATACAAAGCATGCAGCAAACACTGATTCCACTACAGTGCCTAACATGATGACAAAATGCTCATCTGAGGCTGAGGAAGAAAAAAATCATTAGAGAATCTGTTATGTTATTTATACTTTAGAATAATTTTGAAAGGCATTTTAAGACATGCATTATATGTTTTGTCTATTCTAACTATTCCCAACCTGTAAAAACACCTAATTCTATGTAGGATTGCTGAACATACAACTGTGGTACAACGAACAGCTTTGCTGTAAACAGACCTAGTATCTGGGGACAGGGATCCCTCGGAAGATGCTCCATGGTACACACTTTGAGACAACCTGTTGTCAGGTCTAAGCTCTTTGTCATACGCCATCATATTCCACTCCTGGCGTCTGTTCCTGGCTTTTCTAACCTTTTTCACCTCACGGGTGGTGCCATCTATACGCTTTTGCTCCTGATGTTCAAACAAAAGAAATAACAGCATGCAAAGAGAGAAAAAAAAAGGAAAGGGAAAAAGCTGGTTAAAATGCAGTTAGAGTGCATGAAAATCAGACCAGATTTACAGATGAAGCCAAGTCTTCATAAAATTTCTCTGAACTGAAAATGAGAAAATCTCTTCATGCTATGAGCCTCATTAGTAGTAAGACTGGGCTTTGTGCTTCTCCTGTAGAATGCAAGGATGAGTGTGACACCAACCTAATGTTTTTCCTAATATGAAATGTGACTGACACACAAAGCCAGAAATTTAGCTTCTTCTGCTATACATTGTATGTCACTCATTTAGCCTGTCCTGAAGCACTTGTAATTTCCTGTCCCTGCAAATCAAACTTATGAGAATATGTTAAATATACTCAGGGTTATTTTGGCTATTTGTTAGCGTCACCATCACCTGTGGCCTTGGGGAAGCACAGAAAAATTAGAAACACTTTTCCTCTTTCACAGTCTCTGTGACTTTTTTTTGTTTTAACTTCCTCTTCCTTATTAGATTAACTACCAAAATTCATCACAGTTTTTCCTCATCGTTGCTTCTCATTACCTCATATAAAAATGAATGACACTAATCCTCTCTGAATGTGCCAGTAATATTCAGGCCAGTCATATATTACAGCTTGATGACAAATCAGTCTCTTTAGTTTTTTTTAAACCTTTCTACATAATTTTAGGCCCAACGAATGTCAGTGTTTATCAGGTAAGAGTTCCTAACAGTGGGACTCAATGCTTTCAGACCACTGAAACATTGTGCTCATCTACTTCTGACTACCTAGTAGGAATATAAAAACTATCTTGGTGCCTCAGTAATAAAATAAACAACTTTGCTTGTGTTACTCCTTTTTCCCAACACTTATGAAGATGTTGGATTTTTTTTTTTTTTTTAATCAGCTCCAGAGCTCATATCTTAGCACGATAATTATTAAGTAGGTTAAACATTTTTTTATCTATTAATAAACTGGTATTAGGCTTTTGGCTGTCAGAAAAATAGTTTCTCAGGGAAGAATTACATTGATATTCTGAGAATGCAGTCATATTCAATTGTATATAGAAAAGAATTCAGTAAAATGGTGATATGGAAACATCTTGTTGTGGAATCTCCACCTTCACAGTAAGGGATAATAGCTGGAAAGCCAGTCTCACGAAAAAGAAAAATGGACATCTGAGACAAACACAAGTATTTTGCTGTCAAAGAGTACTGAGTAAATAATTCTGAAAAAATGTACTTGGCATTATACAACTAACCAAAAAACCTATCCATTGCCTTGCTTGCAATCTCTTGCTTATTCCTGCATGTCCGTATGAGGGACCTGCTGATCCACATCTGCTGACATTGAGAATGACAGAGAAAAGTCTTTTTGAAGTTCACCATCCAAATGTTCTGACAAAACCTGGTCATTCTTGGCTCCTGCAGTGAGATTTTTGATCTGATACATGTTAAGTAAAGATCATCACCTTGGTCCTTAATTACCCCTATAAAATCTTTTTCTTTCCTAAACTTTTTAGACTCACACCCTTTTTTATCTAGATTATGTAAGGCTTTACATTCTCCTTTATTATAATTTCTTCACATCAAAATTTCCCAATACAAGATTTGGAGCAGAAGGGAGACAGATTCAGTCATGTTCTATTTTAAGTATATGAAATTTTGCTAATTGCTATGGTTGAATATATGCCTGTTAAAAGCTTTACATCCACCTTCTTCATTTGGTTGCTGCAAAATTTAATTTGTTTTAATTTGTGGCTTTTATCCTGGTCCATTTATTAAGATTTTGTTATCAAACCATGCTAGATTTGAGAGGCAAGTACAAGTAAGCCTCTAGTTTAACTGAAAATATGCTTTAGTATTATTTTGTGAGAAGAAAAAACCTCCATCCTTTAAGTGTTACAACTACGTATTTTTTTACAAGTTCCTAGCTAAATGAAGTATCTACCTTTTGACCAATGCACGATGCTGCTTGGAAGACAATAATTTTGATACAATTCCTGTACAATCAGGAGTGCTTCCATGACTGCTTACATATGATCACCTATTTACAAGTCTGGCTTTAAGGACACCACTATGGCTTCCTTTTCTTTTATTACTAAGAAAGGTAAATATGTATGCATGTATAAACAGAAAACATAAACCTGAAGTTTAGTTTGTTTTTATTGGATGAGATTTCAGCTGGACAGGTTGTTCCAGACCAGCACCTGTAACGTGTGCTCATGAATAAATACACTGGAACTTTTTACTCTAACAGTACTAAACCCTACTGGTATTGATTTTTGGATCAAGTAATCTATAAACACATCTCTAAAACATTTAATTTCTTCCAAAATATCAGGGCAGGCCAATTACTAGCAGCTGATAAAACTACATATACTTCTAACTACCTCTATCTTCAGTAGTTTTAAATTGTTCTAGTAATACTTAGCTATCTTGATGAACAGCAGGGACAGCTCTGGTTTTTATCAGCATTGCCCTAGGCACTGAGTTCTAGGGGAGCTGAAGCCTTTCAAAGTAACTAGTTAGCAATATTTCTTAGGGAAGTTAAGCAACATTAGAAGAGTTACTTCTTTAAACCAAGTGTAATAGAAGCTGTGGCAGACAAGTGGATGCTTAGGTTAAGCCAGAAAACAGGTACATCATTCAGCTGTTGGCAGGAAGTGATTTCAGCAAACAGCAAACATTAGAGCCCTCAAACAGGGTTAATTTTGAGTTTAACATTTGCATCAAGGGTTAGCAAATGATGTTTCAGCGTCTTAATAATTAGAGCTAGTAACAGAAAGTAGCTGCAATACTTTTAAAAAATTGGAAGTATGAGCCTATGGTATTTTCCCAACTTCAGAACCTATCAATCACAAGTAATCAAGAATCAGTTTTTTAAATATGAGTCCTCCAAATATAAAGATTTCTACTTAAATGAATAATCATTCCCCAGGAAAAAAATGGGGAATAATAATAATTAAAAAAAAAAAAAAAAAAAAAAAAAAAAAAACCAAAGTAGAACAACTTTCCTTTGGTTAACCAATGATTAACAACTGGTCTACTAGAATCACTCAATTCAGAGTACTACTGATATGTGCCCAAGTCAAAACTGACTTCATTGAACTCTTAGGCATTGACCTACTCTGAGTCTGATGACAAAAAATGGACACGACACCACAGATTTTAAACTTAAATTAAAATTACATTTTTCTTCAGAGAAAAAGTTCACCTGAAAAATTCACATCAGAGAAAGCCCGTGTTAAATTTCTTCAGTTAAACTGAACAGAGAACAATGAATTAGTATCATATTTGAAGGAAGGAAAATTATATCCCTTGCAAACCTTCTGCTGCAATAGCTCAAGCATTTAAGGCAAATAACCAAAACAATATTGGAAACCTGATTCTCTGGTGCCAGGAGTATTTTCGGGCTTCACTGACCGTCTGAAAAACTGAGGCTAAAAACCAGCCCTAGTTGGTCAGCTGAGCAGGACTGCATTTGGACATCTAGTTCATGATTTTCCAAACAATACATATCTAATTTCACCTGTACAGTTTCTCAAACAACTGTCACATTTTGTGCTTCTGTAGAGCACAAGTTGCATAAGGAATTCTCACTTAGTAGATTCAAAATGGAACTTCAGTCACAAAATTGCTAATAAATGCTCTGGATTCATTCCTGGTCACCACTATCATAAGGGAAACAAAAGAAATTTATGGCCTGTTAGCAGCCTGTGGAACCAGCAGTGCCTGTGAGACACCTCACCCAAAACTCCAGCTCTCTGAAGGTTCCAGATGATGAAAAGCTCTCCAGCTTTCCAGCTTCCGGAAAGCTAAAACCCAGATTTCATGTCATAAAGTGACACCTATTCGTGCAAACTCAAATCTAGGCTGCTTTCTTCTTAGTTGGCTTTGTTACATATTTCATCAAATCAAATTGAGCTTCAGGTGGAATTTATCAAGTGGTATTTCTGTGATTTATGGTTGCAATCCTACATGATTGGAATTGAGCATATTTTACATCTGGTTTGTAGACTGTAAGATGAAAATGAAAATCTACAAAAATAGACCATGGATGGAAATAAGTGAGATGTGTTGCCTAAAATACACTCTAAAAGCAGTTTTATCTATAAAGTGGCTTTGTAAAGAACTGTCCAAAGCTGTCAAAATTTCAAGCAGTATTCAGATTTATTTCTTTTAAAGAGCTTTCATATTTTTCCCTTTTTAACATTTAATCAGAATGAAAAAATTAGCAGTTGATATTTTCTTTTTATCCATCTCTCTTGTGAAAAGATCTAAATTTGAAGGGGTAAAGGTGGGAGGGGGAAAAAACCAAAGGGTGCAATTATCCCTATATAGTTTTCATAAAGAAATACTGAATGAAATTTAAAAAAACTCAACTAAACTAGAGAATGAAAGCTGCTTTAATTATTTCCATTCTTTTAGTCAGCTCTATGACTTATCATACTGAGAATATAAATTATAACCTTGCATATACATTTGTATACAATTGTACACATAATCAGGTGAATATTTTCCAATACTTTGCTTTGGACAGTAGCATCTACTGAAAATGGTCACTCAGCTTTTCCAACTCTATTTAGTGTTTCAATACTGACATACTCATCCAGCCAGAAAATCAGTCTGATTTATTTCTTCTGGAACTTTAAAAATCATGAATTGACAAGAAATTTCTATTAAATGAAGTTTTCGTGTTTTGTTTAAAAGTTCTCTAGTCTGAAAGTTTTGTTTAGCAATAGGAACAAGTAATGAATAGAATTTTATAAAAACAGAATTTAGTAAAACTTTCCAGTCTTGCCCTACACTTGATTTTTAAGCAGGTACCATATATATTATTTTATAATTATACACATATTATTACAAATATTATACACATTAGCATGTACATACTGGACATTATGCATATGCACATGCATAATACATTAATATATGTGATATATGACACCTGCTTATCTATACACATATGTAGGTATGCTAATACATATGGATGTATGTGCACTGAAAACTAGAGTAGCTTCCTTGTATTTCCTCTGAGCTGTCTCTGCATCTTCTTCAGATCCTTTTTATTTTAAACTCTTCATCTCTCACTAAACCTATCTAAAAAGGGAAAAGGGCACCTTCTGCCAGGTAAGATAGGCAACCATTGCTTCAAACTTTCCTTCACTACTTTTTTTTTTTCTAGAATTATCTTAAAAAAACCTTAATATCCTCAGATTTGATAAAAAACTGACTGCAAAGAAGCTGCAGAAGTAGCAACTGATTTCTTCATTCGAACCCAAAATGCATTAAGAAAATCTTGATTCCATCAGAATACTCATCTTGGATCCAGCTGCTGAAGATATTCCAGAAGGACTGCAGACACTTTCAAATTAAAAAGCTTTTTTTTGTTGGTTTCAAAATTTTAGCAGTAATATTCTTCATCTCCTGTAATTAATCTGCTATTGTTGCTGAACCACAGAATAATTTTGCCATGTATTATCACCTGACTAATTTCTAACGGGTGTAAAAAAGTGAAGAGTTGCCATGAAGAAATTTTTAAAAAGCCAACAAAATCTATTTTTTTCTGGCTTAGTTCAAGTTTTGTTATATGAGTTGATGCTGCTGCACAAAGAACTATGAAAATAAAGGAAATCATAATTCAAATTCCTGTTTTGTCATCGTTTTTATCCCCTCCTAAATTACAGTGCCTTTGAAGCCTAACAGGGTCATTTTGCTGAATGCTAATAAGCAGATACTGGCAAAGGATTAAAGAAATTATCTTGGATGATAACTAACAGTACTCCTAAAATTCAATTTCCCAAATTTAAAAAATAGACAGTAGGAGATATAAAAACTGAACTAATTGACTCTACAGCCACATATACAGAGGGATAGCCTTTCCATGCATACATACTATGACTAGCTATTTTTATGCCTAGACAAAATTGTAATACATACATTTACTATAATGTTTCTGCTTTTACCTTTTGTCGTCTCTTTTCTTTTCGCTTATCTTCTGTATCTTGTAACATTTTTTCTTTCCAAAGATCAAAAAAGTAAGAAGGATCAGTGTAGAATTTCAATCCATCTTTCTTATCATCCCTGGAAATACAGTAGAAGAAAAGGTAAGAAAATGTGAATTAGCATTTTTCAAACCAACAAAACTCACCTTTGATGATCACCCAAGCTTTATCTTTATTCCATGATAGGATGACAGCATGCCAAGTACATTAAATGCCACTCTTGGTAGTTACAGCTAACAACTGGCTTGATTCATGCCACGAATTCCAGGGGAAAGGGGCTGAATCCACAGGCTTTTGGGACGCACGCTCCCAGGCTGTGCCTCAGCATTGCACAGCAGGAGCTGACTAGGCTCAGAGTGAAATCCACCGGGGCTGCAAGATCAGTGCCAGGACAGGATGCACAGGGGACAGAGGAGAATAAGAATGGAATTCAACTGTCTCAAAAGAGCTGGAAAAGGAGTATTTGGCTCAATCCAGACAGGTCTTAGCATCCAAATTTAGGAACAAGGTAGGTCCGAATACCTTTGCCTTGCCCTTACGCCAGTTGCTGTTCTCAGTGGGACTCTTCTACCTAGGGGAAGGGCTAGGGAAGAGGTGGTAACTGAAAGGCTGAATACTACCGCACTAGTCCAGGAGGATTTGGGACAGAGCTGATCTGGGTTTGCCAGCTCCAATTGGCAACAGGAGCCAGGGACACCCAGACTAAGCCACAAAAAAAGGTATGCTATCAAATCCTGGTTGGATCCCACGGCCTGGGAACAGGGAATTGTGTAGTATCCTGAACTCCTGGAAGGCAGTGGGTGTAGGGGGAGTCAACGTGGCAGGGTAGCTGGCATGGTCCAAACAGCATATGACAGTGATCCCAGTCGAGCTTGCTAAACTGGTGCCCTTCAGAGTCCCTTTTGACTGTGGGTCCTAATTTCTTCCTGGGCAAATTTTGATAGTGGTTGAGTACTAACTACTACCAGCAAGATCAAGAGCATTGGAGATCCAGCACAGGAAAACCTAGCCAGTGGAGCAGGGTACAGACAGATGTTCTCTACTGCCTGGTCATATGGCTATGAACCCCTTTATATTGCATGCTAGATCTCCTCAGTACAAACATCTGACCTACTGAAGAGGGTACTGAGACCACTCTTCCACACCTCCAGCTTCCTCCAGACCACAGTTTGAAGTTCATTTAGGTTTTATCCAAGGCAAATACAAATTATTTAAATTCAGCAGATGTAAAAGAATTATCAAGAAATATAGTCTTAAGTAAATTTCACTGGAGAACCCCTAATAAAACAGGGATAAAGGTCACTGACACAGTCATCCAGGCACACACTAGGACATAGCTGTGCAGAGCTTCTGATCGATAACAACTCTCACCAACTGGATGCCTATAAACAAATGGCACCGTTGGCTAGAGTAGGGACAAAAAGCATGTCCTTCAGCCATAAATCTAACAGTTTTGCCTACCAAGTAAAAGCTCTTTAAAAATTAAATACACTGCAAATACTCTATGTCACTCCTAAAATGATTTCAAATTGGCTACTGCAGATTGAGTAACTGCTTTACAGACACCTCACAGTCTTGTACCTTTTAAAACTGAAGGACAGAGTAAAAGCATGTTGTCCACAACCATTCAGACAGCAGCATTATACTCATTTCATGAACAACAAAACTGAAAGAAAACAGGAAAAGAAAGCAGGAAACAAAGTCCTGCTTTCTGATGTTTTAATAATCAGTAAGTAACCAAAAAAAAATAAGCTAATGATTGTGTGCACACATGTGAAATGGTGGGGGGAAGAAGGAGAACAGAGAAAAGGCAAAAGCAACAAATCTATCTTTCTGGATAAAAAAAACACAGAAAACAGTTCTGTGTATTATTCATTTTCTTTTCACTTTTTATGTTACCAATGGCCTGTGCTACTATGTAACACTTATGCTGAAATATAATGAGTTGTACCACATACAACTTATGATTTTAAGTGTGGCAATAGCAATCTCTGTTTCCATGAAAAGGGAAGTGCCTGAAAAATATAAATGTCAATAACCAATACAGCCTTTCCCTTCTGCTGCAATTACTTTCTGCATACAACTAGGAGATAAAAGGCAAAGTACAAGAATGTAAACTATTAATATTTCCATACCTATAAGGTGAAAGAATATTCAGAGGTGGTGGTTTGTCACTCTGATTATAAATATCAGCCACTGGGTTAGGAATGCTGTTCTTTGAAACTACCTGCTGATCTTGAATTGTTGAGCTCTTGAATGCTTTTTTCATGTTGATATCCTGTAATGATACTGTTAGAAACAAAAATACGTTTATCACAGGTCTGAAATTAATGTAAGTCAATAAACAAAGTCCATTTTACACTAGGTATGTAAAATATTTTCAGCAAAATATAGAAGTAAAACTGAAAGATTTTTCTTCAGTGGATAATCACAGTATGTAAGCACAAAAGCATAAAAGAACCACGATAATAAATTAGGAAGTCTCATTTCATCCAGAATCTCACTTAAAATAATGAGACCGTGGACTATGTAGTGGAAGATGATGCAAGAGCCAGTCACATGCAGATGTCCAGTGACCTCCCCTTTTAATGAAGTTTAACCTGGATTTCCAATAGCAGAAATACTGGCTTCAATCCTGAAACACAAGGTCTGGCTGGTAGTCCTGACACAACATGTTTTATAATTACATGTGGTATCCAAATATATTCAACTCCTTTCTAAATTTAATTAAGTTATGGCCTCCACGACCTCCTATGAGAGAGAGTTACACATCATCTACCATCTTCCAACTTCAAAATCTTTCCATGTAATTGAACAACCCTTGGTTTTAAGTTTTCCTCATCTCTCTCTAGAAGAGAGACTTACCTTCTTTACACAGGCCAGTAACACACTTCCATTTATCTGCTCACGTATACAATTCTAGGGGAAACGACACTAATCTTTTCATTCTTTCTTTTCAAATGAAAGGTTTAAGTTGCTTTTAATTGTTCCTGTCACTTTTAGCAAAACTTTCTTTTATTCTTCATATAAGTTTTTCTTAGAGGCTTTAAGTCGAGGGACTAGCTTAATTAGAATATTTCATTCCAAATCACTGTATCCCCATCAAAACACCATTTTTGAGAAACTACTTCCTATTTAAACCTGCCTATAAGTAAACTAGTAAGGTATTTTAGGGAGTTTAATCACAGAATCATTTTGGTTGGAAGAGAAGTCTAAGATCAAGTCCAACCAATAACCCAGCACTGCCAGGTCATCACCAAACCATGACCCCCAGTGCCACATCTACACATCTTTTAAATACTTCCAGGGATGGCAGCTCCACCGCTCCCCTGGACAGCATGATCCAGTGCTTAACAACCCTTTCCGTGAAGAAATTTTTCCTAGTATTCAATCCAAACCTCTCCTGGCACAACTGGAGGTCATTTCCTCTTGTCCTATCACTTGGTACTTGAGAGAAGAGACCAGCACCCACCTCACCACAACCTCCTTTCAGGCAATTGTAGAGAGCAATAAGGTCTCCCCTGACCCTCCTTCTCTTCAGGCAAAGCAACCCAATTCCCTCAACTGCTCCTCGCAAGATTTGCTCTCTAGAGCACTTACCAGCTTCTTTGTACTGAGATGCCCAAAACTGAACACAGCATCTGAGGTGCAGCCTCACCAGTGTGGACTACAGGGACACGATCACTTCCCTGCTGCTGCTGGCCATGCTATTTTTGATCCAGGCCAGGATGTTGTTGGCCTTCTTGGCCACCTTGGCACATTGCTGGCTCATGTTCACACAGCTGTCAGCTGTTTTTTTCAGCTGTATAACTCCAAATTGCTACATTCTTGTTTGGAGCAACACATTCAAAAGAGCATAAATTCAATTTTTCTGCATCTTTTTAGTGCAAGTTATTACATGCTTTTGAAAACTGAACCTCAACTGTGCAAAGGTTGTATAGATATGGTGCTTAGTCCATGGTTTAGCAATGGGCTTGGTAGAGTTAATGGTTAGAGGATAATGGCTGGACTCAATCTTAAAAGGTCTTTTCCAACCCAAATGACTCTATGACTCTTATTATTTTTAAATGTTCTTTCAACTATGGTATTAGTTATATATAGAAAATATTTTTATATATACACTAAATATTAGTTATACCCAAGAATGTAAGAAATCCCTGATGCACTTAAATCTGAAGTGTTTTTTAAATCAAACAATTTAGCAATTGACATTTTACTTAAAAGCTACCCAGACACATATTTAGTATTAATGACAATAAAATGAATTATAAAGACTTCAACTTCTACAGCAATAGAGCTAGTAAAATTTCCTACTGACACTAAAGTGACAACAGTTACTATATACAGCTTATTAATGTCAAAGACAATTAGCGGTCCAAGAGTGATAACTGCTGTCAATTTAAAATAAGAACTGATTAAATTCTCAGTCTTTCAACAGGTTGCTTTTAATTACTCTCCAAACTCTGAAAACTAACCAGGAGGCATTGCATTACACAAATGAGACATTAAAAAAAAAAAGAAACTAGGGCAAAAACTTATTTTCAATAAGGTCTAGCTGTATTCACTTCTGATTTATTACACTCACAAACGAGAGGCTTCCCTGTGAAAAGGGCTCCTTAATGGCTCTATTAGAATCATAGAATCATAGAAT